ATATCCATCGAGACTTGTGCCTATGTGCTTCTTTCTTGATCTTCTCGTTCTTACTTGCAATATATCCATTGAGACTTGTGCCTATGTGCTTCTCTCTTGGTACGCATTGCGGGGGGAGGCGCTGCGCCCTCCCCCCTGCACCCCCCTACCCGCTTTTATTTTTAAACCGGTTCCCCTTGCTACCTACTATTCCTTTCTTTTTGCATAAGCATCATCGTTTATTTGGGTTAATTTCATCTTTGCTGATATCCATCGAGACTTGTGCCTATGTGCTTCTTTCTTGATCTTCTCGTTCTTACTTGCAATATATCCATTGAGACTTGTGCCTATGTGCTTCTCTCTTGGTACGCATTGCGGGGGGAGGCGCTGCGCCCTCCCCCCTGCACCCCCCCACCCGCTTTTATTTTTAAAACGGTTCCCCTTGCTACCTACTATTCCTTTTTTTTGCATAAGCATCACCGTTTATTTGGGTTAATTTCATCTTTGTTGATATCCATCGAGACTTGTGCCTATGTGCTTCTTTTTTGATCGTCTCGTTCTTACTTGCAATATATCCATTGAGACTTGCAATATATCCATTGAGACTTGTGCCTATGTGCTTCTCTCTTGGTACGCATTGCGGGGGGAGGCGCTGCGCCCTCCCCCCTGCACCCCCCCACCCGGTTTTATTTTTAAACCGGTTCCCCTTGCTATACCTACTATTCCTTTCTTTTTGCATAAGCATCATCGTTTATTTGGGTTAATTTCATCTTTGCTGATATCCATCGAGACTTGTGCCTATGTGCTTCTTTCTTGATCTTCTCGTTCTTGCCTGCAATATATCCATTGAGACTTGTGCCTATGTGCTTCTCTCTTGGTACGCATTGCGGGGGGAGGCGCTGCGCCCTCCCCCCTGCACCCCCCCGCCCGCTTTTATTTTTAAAACGGTTCCCCTTGCTACCTACTATTCCTTTCTTTTTGCATAAGCATCATCGTTTATTTGGGTTAATTTCATCTTTGCTGATATCCATCGAGACTTGTGCCTATGTGCTTCTTTCTTGATCTTGTCGTTCTTACTTGCAATATATCCATTGAGACTTGTGCCTATGTGCTTCTCTCTTGGTACGCATTGCGGGGGGAGGCGCTGCGCCCTCCCCCCTGCACCCCCACACCCGCTTTTATTTTTAAACCGGTTCCCCTTGCTACCTACTATTCCTTTTTTTTTGGCATTAAGCCTATCTTTATTTGGGTTAATTTCATCTTTGCGGAATCCATCGAGCCCGGTGCTATGTGCTTCTTTCTTGATCTTGTCGTTCTTACTTGCAATATATCATTGAGACTTTTGTTGCTATTTCTGTCGCTCTTGGTACGCATTGCGGGGGGAGGCGCTGCGCCCCCCCCCTGCACCCCACACCCGCTCTTTATTTTTAAAAACCGGTTCCCCTTGCTACCTACATTCCTTTCTTTTTCATGTGCTTACTACTACTACTAACTACTACTACTACTAACTACTACTACTACTACTACTACTAACTACTACTACTACTAACTACTACTACTACTACTACTACTACTACTACTACTACTACTACTACTACGACTACGACTACGACTACGACTACGACTACGACTACGACTACAACGACGACGACGACGACGACGACTACTACTACTACTACGACTACGACGACGACGACGACTACTACTACTACTACCACTACGACTACGACTACGACTACGACTACTACTACTGCTGCTGCTGCTACTACTGCTGCTAATGCTGCTACTACTGCTACTACTACTACTATTACTACTACTAGTACTACTACTACTACTACTACTCCTACTACTACTATTACTACTACTACTACTGCTACTACTACTACTACTCCTACTACTACTATGATATTTTTTTTGATACGGATATTTTTTTTGATCTAGGTTTGCAGCACGAAACCCGTGAGGTCTCACACAGTGGCACCTGGATATTTTTTTTGATGCATATATATTTTTTTTTGATGCGTGCTGGATATTTTTTGTGATGCATTTTTATTTTTTTTTGATACGTGTCTCGAACGAGATCCTCATGAATTGCCGGACAAAGCTGCCACAAATAGATGGCTGACGGGAAAAGACTCAAGCCTTTTGCGGTCACATTGCATTTATGATAGGGATGAATCTCCTTGTAAGAGCTAACTTGTTTTTTTTGATTGTTTTTGTTTGAAGAGCTGATTTGCTAGGGTTTCATCAATGTGCTGTGGTGTTACAAGCGCCATGGTGGTTACAAAGAAATGCTATGCCTTCCAGACGTCTTAAACAGCAGTATCTTGGATGTGTTTCAAAATGATCCTTATCCGGGGCTTTTGTGTTTCGAAATGATCCTTATCCTCTGTGTTTCAAAATGAGCCTTATCCGGTGTTTCAAAATGATCCGGGTCCCTTATAGATAGTTTGAGGATGATTAAGGTTTATGAACAGCAGCATTTATAGTGATTGCTTGGGAACTGGACCTGAAATTACTGGGAAATCCTCCCCTGAGCTGTCCTGATCCTTTCCAAGGCTCAGCGTGGAGCTTGATACTTCAGCAGTCTACGGCTCAGTGGACTTGTTGGATACGGCCTAGTCACTGCCAATGGCATGAATTGTTTTTTTCCTTTGAGGTGATGCCAATTCAGTGATTTTAATTCATGCATGATGTGCAGCCATTGCAGCCGCAGTTTATTGTTTTTTAATTCCATTGTATTCCTTCCCCTTCATCAACAGAACTTCCAGCAGTTCAGCACCCGGAGAAGAGTTGCACATTGCAGGCAGTTTTTTGCAACCAAAAACTGGTTGAATCATCCGGTGTGTGCAACCGACACAAATGATGCATCCGATGCATCCGGTGGGTCATTGCTGAGTCAGGAGGTGTCAGGTGGCATCCGTTTAGTTGCTGAAGTCTGGATCCTGAAAATGGCCATAGAAATAGTGGATTTACCATGATTTACCCATTAAAAATGGTGATTTTCCAGAGTTATGGTGATGTTTACCAGAGGGTAACATCTGAAAATTTCATTGAGAATCTATGAGCATCTCAAAGTTGTCGTGATGGATTCCCCAAGGATAACAGCTTCCTGCTGTGCCATATTCTCTTTGCATCTTTCAGAACCTGCTGAGTTTTTACATGTCTTGACAACATTCATTGCAGCTATAGTTTCAATAGCATTTTCTGAAACTCAAGCCGGAACAATCTAGGCACAGCCATACTACTGGTAAAACTGGGTTGATGGACTCGTGAGTCAAGTGACATACGAACAATGTACAGTCTCAGTACAAGCAGCAAAATCCATCGAACACCTGCATGATCAAAGAGAGACGTGCACGGAAGAGACTTCAATGGCAGAGGGTGCCGCGAAAAGTCTTGACCTCAGAAGGGTGTGGAACGCCTCCGGGGGGGACGTTGAGGAATTGGTGCACAGCCTTGGCGGGTGGTTTGAAGTGTTGTTGCTTCCTAAGTTGGGATGGTCAGTCCGAAATGAGTCATGTCATGTCATATATCATGAGTTGACAAGTCGACAAGTCGACACTACCACCAATGCTACTTTTATCCTCATCCAGCCGAAGCTATATGCCCATGCATGATGGACTACATAGTGACTTAGTGCAGACACACACACACCAAACACAGAAACAGAAAGCGGATCAATAGATTGGATTGTGTTTGATAATGTTTGGACTATGTGGGTTGATATGATTTTATTAGATTTGATTTGCCTAGATTTGTTTAGATTTCTATTGTAGATACTCCTGGGCAGACATACATGGGTACAGATTCTGCATAGATTGAGGAGACCCGAAACGGCCTGAGACCATCCGAAGGTGACAGAAGCTGGGTGGGCAACCGGGTGCGAGTTGGCCAACACCTGGCCACGGTGCGTTGGGGGTGCGGCACCCGAGCTGTGATGTGAGCACCTCTTGGTGCCGAGTGGCGGAACCAACTTTGGGGATTTGTTTTGCATCAATTGAAAACCCATCATTCGTCATTTAGCCCTTCCCCTTAATATTCAACACCCCTAAGAAAACTTGTTTTGGAAGGAGATTTATATACACATTATTTGAGACCATTTTGGAGAAATTAAATGCTAGGGGGATGGGATCCTGCGAAGTGACCTTTGCTTTGGAAGCGTGGGCCACGATGGCCCCAGGCCCGGGGAGCTACAAGCACCATCCAAACAGCCTGGCGAAGGCTATCCGGAACAAGTTGGAAGCTCAGCTGCGAACAATGGGAGGGGCCCACCAACATAGGAGGGCTGGTCTGCAGCATCAAAGCGGCGAGGCGCCGCCAAGCGCATGCTGGATGTTGATTTAAGATGATTTAAGTGTGAAGGGTTATAGAAGCAAAAAGGATTATGGATATAGATTATTAGCTGAAAACAAATCGATTTGGCACGTGTGAGATGCTGAGAGGCCGAGTCTCAGTATGAGATGACAGAGTCTTGCCTACTGCTCAACTCTGCAGGTTGTTGAGGTTGTGGGAGTGGAGTACGACGAGGTGCGAGTTTTTTGTCCTTCACTTCCTACTGGGGTGGGCCTTTTCGAACAAGTTTCAGTCATGGCATCGCAGTTTTTGCCGAAGCTTTTCAGGGCTCGATCTAGCCGACAGCTCATGCAGAAGCTTGACAAGTCCATGAAAGAAGATGGAAAAAAAGGGAACACTCTGATCATGATCAGTCCATGACCTCAGGATTGCAGCAGAGAAAAAGTGTTGAGAAAGACAGGCTGCTGACACAGCAGACAGCTATGGCGGCCGTTTGCCCCATGCCATAGCAGCGCGCCTGGTATGATGGTGCCCGACAGGATCTAATTGCTGCATTTGAGAAGGCCATCCAAGCGGTGGTACTTTGTCATCTAGGGGATCCCCAAAAAAATAGAACAAGTATGAAAAAAGTAGGTCAGAATCAAAATTGTTGGGGGAGTCCCTCGCTCTCCGATTCATTGAAGCCCACATTGCGGTTTAGTTTCTCATCCGCCCAGGCAGATGACCGATTTGACCCAACAGCTGATTACACCGAAGCTGGGGCAGCAACTATGGCAGGGAGGCCTACCCCCACTGCAATCCTTCAATCCAAATCTGGAGAGAGAGAGAGAGAGTAAGAGAGAGTAAGAGAGAATAAGTTATACTTCCCCGAACTATCGTGAAGTTCTGACATGTGAAGTGGTCGAAGACTGGCTGGCCGGTGGAACATGGTGGAGCCGAAGCAGGTGACCTCAGAAAGATCCCATGGCTTCCCCCCGAGGAGCGCAGCCGATGGAGTCGCCTTTCCGTGGTGGATTTTGCAGCAGATCTTAGCCGCAGCTGTGGCTGTGCTCATCACCATTTTGGACAATTTTCCGTATGGATTCCTGGATTTGCTGATTGAGGATTTTCTGTTTTCCCACAGGTTATCATTGGTTAATCCTAATCCAAATCCATCTTGATCCACTAAATTTGGGGAACCTATTGACTCATATTTTATCATAGTTTATCATAGTTTATCATAGTTTTACGATGTTTTCTATGTCTGTCCCCCGGATGTCCCCCGGATTGCCGGCATTGAAATCCCCCCAGGATTCCTCTTGTTTCCCGGTGAATTGCCTGGCACTTCCGGTTTCGGGATCTCGATGGTGCTGCTCTCGGCAGCCATGGCACAGATCGTCTTCGCGTTGCAGTCAGATCTGCCAGTAGGACGCTGAAGGTTCAACAACATTCAACAACTGGGTACTTGCCTCAGCGTGGTGCACTATATGCATGTATATATTATATAATTTAGTTATATATATATAAATAATATGTACGCAGTTGTACGCATATAAATAAAGATGCCAGTGTATGTGGATAATATGTAATTCGTACATATGTATGGAATGGAATGGAATGGAATGGAATGGTAATGCATGTATGTATGTATGTATGTATGTATATAGCATATGACGTAAGATATCGTTTCAGGGATGCATATGGCATCACATTGACATGGCAGAAAAAAGAAGAACATGTAGGAAAGCAAACAGAGACAAAGGGAGAAACAGAGCCAAATAGAGCTATGGAGATATTGATATTGATAAGATGTATCATATGAACCTATAGAATTCTACAGGTGTACATAGGTATTTGAGGATTTTGAGACAGAGGCAGGCGGGTAGGTAGATTTGAGTCGATTCGGTTTTAAGATGGTTTAAGTCTTTTCTCGCTCGATCTATATAGCTGCTATAGCTCGAAAGGCAGAGGAATTGATACATCGATCGGGGGAGAGAGACGAAGGGGTAGATGGCTGGGCTGCATGCAGATGTAACATGTGTATACGAATAAACATCAACCCAGGGTGTAGGATGTATGGACAAGTGGTCAGGTGTTGATGATCTCAGGACGTTTGAGGGATATGCGTGCAATTTCTGCCAATGCCAGGACTGGGATGTATGATCGTTGAGAACACTCCGATGCTTCATTCCATGGCCCTGTCTGTCTCGGCTTCGGTGGACCGTCCGGAGCAGATTGTCCCAACGCTGCTGGCGTTGTATGCCGTGGCGTCCTTGCTGACGTCGCTGGCCTTTTTCCTCTTGGGTTACTTCCAACTGGAACGGATCTTCAAGATTCTGCCGCAGCCAGTGTTGATGGGATGCATAGCAGGAATGGGCAGTTACATTCTCACAGCAGGGCTGGCTGCATGCACCGGAGTCAGCTGGGAATGGACTGAGACACAGCTGCTGCGACAAGCACAGCATTGGCCAAAGTTGCTGGTGCTGTTTTGCTTGGAGATGATGTTGCTCTATTGCTTGAAGCTCTCCAGGGGCAGGGGCTGGGAATCCTTTGTTTTGCCCCTCTTCTTTCTTGGGCTGCTCTTTGGCAGCTGGATAAGCTTGGCCTGCCTGGGCTGTTCCCATCGCCATGCCCAAGAGGAGGGCTGGTTTTTTAGAGACTTCCCAGAGGACAGTGGGATGTCGTGGAACTTTCAGCTGGATCTGGTAGCATGGAGGCTGTTTCCCTACCAGCTGCCATTGCTCTGCGGCATCGTCATTTTCAGCTGCCTTCATGTTCCAGTGAACGTGCCGGCACTTGCTCAGGCCACCCGCAAGCAGGCGGATATCAACAAGGAACTGTTTGCGCATGGAGTTGCAAACTTGTTCTCTGGATGCTGTGGATGCTTGCAGACCTACATGGTGTACTCCTCCAGCGTTTTGTATCACAAATGTGGTGGTGGAGCCCGGGTGACGGGTGTCATAGTAGGCTTCCTGGTGATTCTCTGCATTCCAGTGGCTAATAGTCTCATCTCTTATGTGCCAAGGATGCTGGCAGGAGTGCTCTTAGGGCATCTAGGTGTGGAGCTTCTCTGGGAATCTTTGTTGGACACATGGCCAAATCTGGACACCTTGGAATATGTCATTGTGGTGGTCATCGCAGTGGTGTGCAACATCAGCTTCCTGTTGGCTCTTTCAAAGTTTATTTTGTGGCATTCATTGGGAAGATAATCCCCAAATATTCGAACTATTCCCAAGTGTGCACCAAGTCCAAAGTGATCCTAAAGAATATTCTTGGGATGTGAGGACTCTTGAAGAATATTATTGATATTATTGGGGGATGGGCTTGGGAAACATGGGAAACCTCACCAGCTGGAAGATCCCAAGCCATCCCAAGCCATCCCAAGCCATCCCAAGCCATCCCATTGGCCCAAGCTCAGGTTTCATTTTTAGCCTCCTATTTGGGCTTCTCTGTGCCTGTGTGGCTTTCGTCGTTCAAGCAGCCCGCTCGGACCCGGTAAGATTCGCCTTCTATCCGGGCAGGGGAGTCCGATCACGACAGATGCGCAGTCAAAGGGAACTGCGAATCCTGGAAGAATTTGACCAGAAAGCAGGGTTTCTCATCCTGAGACTCCATGGAGTGCTTTTCTTTGGCAACACGTCTCTGGGTAAACACTGGGTAAAACACTGGTGTTTTTTTCCTGGTTTGACGAGTTGAAGCCCGTAAATTCCAAGATCAAGTTTGAAGTTTAACCTTCCATATTTTACCGCCGCTTGATGTATTTGAAGTCCAGGCATTCCCTGCCAGAAAGGGTGCAGAAGGTGAAGTGTCGAGCTGTGATCATCGATTTTGCCCAAGTGATATCCATTGACTCCTCTGCATTCAGCATCTCGGCATATCTCGAACAATTGGCTGTCGCGATTCTGTGGTGCCTAAGGCCTGTCTATTCTGGGTGGCATGATGTAAGTTTTTTAGGAGGAAGTGTCCTCGCTTATGCCTGTGAATCTGTCTCGCTTGCGCCTGCGCGGACTTTTCTGTCAGTTAGATGCTGCAGAAGCACCAGCATCATGTGCAGCTTGCTGCAGTATGCTGAAGTAACAGACTACTAGCTATGATGTCATATCATGTCATAGCGCAAACATTATGTCATTGCAGGGTTTGTTTGCCCCCAAGTCCCCCTCACCATCGAGTTCCCGTGCCCCTTTGTCCCCAAGTGAAACCCTAAAAGGTTGTGACTATACTATATAGAAAGTCTGAAGATATTTGAAGATGACTTTTGCCACCATTTCCCCCCAACTAAAAGGTTGTGAGTGTTTGCTGGAGTCGGAAGATGGTGCTTGCCCCCAAGTCCCATAACCCACCCCAGGTCCCAATGTCCCCAAGTCAAACCCTAAAAGGTTGTGACTGTATTGGGAGGCTGAAGAGCGTGCTTGCCCCAACGTCCCCCAACCTACCCCAGGTCCCAGGTCCGCATCTTTTAGGCCATGAAATGGGGGCAGGCGGCAGATGCGGGTCCCGGAGTAATTGAAAGAAAGAACAGCCTGCCCAATTGAACAAGACTACACCAGCAGCCCCCTTGAATGTCAAGCCTCCAGGAAAACGGAGATTGTCTTGTATCATCACAGCACATCTAATCATCTCAAACTTTGGATTCCAACATCATAAGGCCACAAAATGTGGGGATATCGGATTTCAAGAACTTAACCATGGATGCTATGCCCACAACCATCCCAGCTATCTTAGGGATGCTCCCCGGATCACCATGCGCCAAGGTGAGTTGAACAGCCTGGCTGGAACGTTGCAGAACAAGTCCATCACCTTGATTTGCAGCGGCCTCATGAACATGTCCAAGGTGAGGATAGGTCGGGGTGGCCACGCTGGTTGGTTCGAAATGCTTATAGTTCGTGTTTCAAAATCAATTTGGATCCGGAGATATTTCCGTGGTTTCTATCCCTAAACATATGATCCCAGTTGTGATGAGATGGGTTGAAATCATGATATTTGGAGGAACCAGTGGTTTTTCGTGACCAAGGCGGAGTTTGGGTTCCAACTTTTGGATACGCCTCTGATGGGTACTAGAATCTGTCGAAATTCGCAGACTTGGACACCCCTCAAATCAGGTGGTTGTTGTTTTTGAACGTTTTCCACATGTTTTTGAGCTATCAAGTACGGTCATTCAACAGGGGTTGGTAACTGTCCCATTTTGGGAATATTGGACATCACCTTATAGTAGCCATTGTAGACCATATACCTAATGGTTGGGTGATGTCCAATGGGGACATTTAATGACCCATGTTCAATGTCTCGAATTGGGGCCGTATAGATCGCCTGATCCAGGTGCAGCGGCATCCGCATCTTGCAGCAGCACGCTTTGCCAAAGACGCCAGGGTGGCAACAGCAGCCATCAGTTGAAATCATTGCAGTTGCGGTCAGCCAGCTGTTTTTAAAGTGAATGATCGCTGGGATATTTCATGATATTTCTTTCTATTTCGGACATGCTTGGGCCCGCAGATTCACTTTAGTCATCCACTTTCTGTGTAGATCTGCTCACTTCAGGGATCCTCCCAGATCACGAATCTTGCTTTTCAAACCGTCTCAGAGACCCCGCCTTTGTGATTCAATTCATGTCACATCATCATGTTGTTAAAAGATGTTAAAAGCCACCACTTCCTAGGCCTCAATCAGGGGCTTTCCCAAAATAGGGCTACCCTGAGCTATCATCCATTTTATGAGATTTTCCATGATAAATCATCTAGCTATTGGGGTACCTCCATTTTATCAATGGCCATCTCAGGAACCTAAATTGGAGGTACCTACCATATATAAGGCCTATGTAAGGCCTATGTAAGGGAATATACCCACAAAATATGGCCTTATATGGTACAGTACCTCCATTTTAGGATCCTGAAATTCCCATTGATTTTATATAGGAAAGCCATGGAAAGCCCATATATCACCAATCCCCCAACCCCTAAGGACATGGACACAGCCGTGGCCTTAGTGGAATCCTTAGCCCTGGCAGTTTCTGATCCGCTGCCGTCGACCGTCTCGGTCTCCTCCCTGTTGGGCGACAGCCAGCGAGCGGAAGCAAAGGAGGTGCCGGGGTGGAACGGGTTGAGATTCAGGTTGGATATGGTTATTATATGGTTATTAATTATATGGTTATCATGGTTGATAATATGGATGAGATATGATGTTAATTATCGCAAACACCCTAGAAAATGGAAACGTGCAAATCCTAATGGTGATCACTTCATGTTCTATTTTTTGGAGGTTGCTATACACGAGATTCATCAAATGGTATTTCAAAGCAGCTCAAAGAAAACTAACGCAAGATATTGAAGGAACACTAGGAGAAATTACAAACCTGTTCTGCCTGTTTTCTTCGACTCTTTGCATGATTTGCCTGGTCATATCCTTGCCTCCCCTTTTTCTGTGTAGCAACTGGGTTGACGCTTTTTTCCCCAGTGGAAGACACCCTTCCAGGCCCTTCAGCAGCATCCATGTTCCCTGGAAGATCCTGGAAGGCAGACATCCATTTCTTCCAGAAGGTTTGTGATGAGTTGTTGCAAGATCTCGATTTGCCGCTGCAAACCAGCGTGGCTTTGCGTGCCTTCTTTGAGCGTGATCCTCGGATCTGAGGACGACTTGAACCGAAGATGTTGTGTTGGTCAAGTCAAATCGCCAACTAATTAGTTAGCTGATCCCAATTATAAGTAAGTATGATCTACGAGCCCATTTTGTGGGGTAGTAGTTGCTTATAGACTTAAGAACCTCTCCGGTGGCGTGCTGAGGTTCCAACGCGTGGCAAAGGGCACGGTCCTGTGGAGACCCGGTGATCCTGCAGACTTCGCGTTTTTGCTGGTCACTGGACACGTGGGAGTCTCTTGGCTCGGCTCGGAAACTGGTCGATCATTGGATCAACATGATCAATTGGCCTTTGATGGATCAGGAGAGTTTTTCATGTGGGACCTAGGGCGCCTAGGGAAACGGGGACAAAATATCCAGAATGATCATAAACCAGTTTGCCTTGTAAGTTGGGAGTCAAAAAACGGTTACCTGAGAGTAGATTTCAGTAATTAGCAATAATGCACCCCAAACCACGTGCACATACTTGCACATAAAAATAAACAAGGCCCCCAACCATACATGATCATACATGATCTACCTTTATCTATTAGTTCAACATAACGTGATGAGATCAACGTAGATCAACGTACTGTAACCGGGAACTCAAGAGCCACACCATCATGGCCTCTCCATGTGTAGCATCCTGATGGTTTTTTAAGGTCCTAGATGACTTCTGCGACAGTCATGGACGGCATTCCGGGGCGAGCTTCGTGGAATGCAGCGTTCCAGGGCAGTTCACTGGAGAGCTGAACCTGCTGCTTGGACTTGTGACTAACTGCCCTGGCGGCTTGCTGCAGGTCAGTTCAAGATTCCACAAGTTCGTTGTTTTTTTTTTGTTGTTGGTTTAACCCGCTACTGTTTAGTGACATCATGTGACATCCATCCTTGGATATATGTGCACGAGTGAGGCCACATCAAGCGTAAGAGGACCTTGATCATATATTATGTACAGGGTGAAACCTCAAGGAAATCAGTTCACATCTCCACCATCATACAACTCCGTTCGGCGCCTTCAGGTTCACTGGAGAGTCCCGCAAGAATCGCATTGTGGCCGGATACCCAGACATCTCCGAATTTGAATTTGCAGAGTGGAGTCCTCTCATTTTTTTGTGCTTTGTTGTGGTGTAAACGGAGCCCATACACTATCATATACTGTAACTGGTGTGACATACATGCACGCATGGAGAATATGAAGTTATGGAACCAACTGAACGCATGATAAGTAGATAGAGTATGATAGAGTATGATAAAGTGGATATCATGTATCTAAATCTAGATAGGAACTACTGTAAACCATAAGTGATAAGATGAGTAGACAAAGAAATGTATAAATCAATGGAATAGCATAGAATAGCATTATTTGGGCCCGCGTTTGCACCTTAATGCAGTATCCCTTGGAGCGGCGAGGCCACAGAAGATCTCTCCATGTGGACCATTACTAGGGAGAGCTTGCAGCAAATGCAGCGAGATCAGTGTCTTGGTCTGTATTGATTGATCCATGTTGATCCAATGAACAGGACATGTCGGACATGTGTGGCTGCAATTGGCCGAAAATGAGCCTTTTTATAGTTGTTTCCCCAATTTGACATTGGTGATAGCTTGGAATATTATGTGTACAGCATATAACTTTTTAATCATGGTTGTGAAGCGGTTGCCAACTGCGATGACCATCAGAATACAATGTGAATACAGGGTGTGGCCGACAGCTTGTGAAAGAGTGTTCTACTTGGGACAGCTGCCAAAGAAGGACCATGATAGTTTGGACCATCAACCACTTCAGACACCAACGATCTTGCCATAGTCAAGAGACTAGGGCTTGCCTCCTTAGTGTTAAAGTTTGGGGGATATAGGGGGAGTGTACGGACAAGTATTTGGAACAACACAAAAACATGCACACAGATACTGTATATGTTATGGTATGTTGCCATGTGTACTGTATATACCACACAGTATCACAAAATATCCAGCTTTTGGGCAAGGTGTCCATCTCTAGATTTGTGCAACATATATATCATTCAAGATCAAACTCATGCAATCGTTGAAATGGTTGAGACTAGGCATTGCGGCACAAGGGGATGGAGAACTGCCAAGGTTGCAATTGGCCTTTGCTTTTCAAAGCATTGCGTCAGGGACTTAGATGATGGGGGAAAACATCTTGGACGATCTTGGAGGTGGCCGCTCTGGGTGAAAAGCTGGAGGTCTTAATCAATGATTAATAATAACAATTATGATCATCGCATTATAACAATAGTAACAACATTTATATAATAACGAACTCCTTGTACGCGTAATTATTCCCCTAGGTGTCAGGAGCTAGGGGCGTGATCAGCCGAAACATGAGACATGGGAGTGAAACAGTGGCGCTGTGCACATCTGCGAATGGATTGCCAAAAGCAACTGGTTTAATGCCAAATGACCCTTGGCCGAACAGATTTTCCCGATCGGTGAGGCTTCGCTATGCTGCCCACAGGCCGGGATGAGACTGTGGTGACTGTGGTGCAATGATGTGCATCCAAGAGATGGACTGACGAAACTAGCTGTTCCACTGAGCCAGTTGTCACCCCTGGAGGATGAACCTCAGCATGCTGGATGGCCACGTCCATACGGTTTGAGACAACTCTGAGTGCTGGCAGTGGCATGAGGAAAAAAAGTGATATAGAGTGTACAGTGATGTTTTTTGTTCGCACGCGACATCAGCATTGTTTGGTCTCATTTTTTTGGGGGGGTGAACCCCCTAAAACATCTAAAACATCTAAAACTGTCCACTTGCGAGTCGCAGTTCCAGTTATAAGTGGATGACGGAGAAAAATAAAACAACCATTGCTGGTTGGTGGTTTGGAACATTTTTTATTTTCCATAATATATGGGATAATCCTTCCCATTGACTAATATTTTTCAAGATGGTTAAAACCACCAACCAGATTGTTTTTGGGGTGTCCATCATATCCCAACTTATGGTGGTTGAAATCCCATTGGAAAAACCCATGACCCACAGTTTCAAACGTCACCTGCTTGCGCTGCGGTCGCAGGCAGGGATTGGAAAGCACAATGGCAGCTACCAGGGCACCCAACTCTTCACCTGTCCGGATGGTCGTGGCAGTTTCGCAAAGGCCATGGGCTCAGCTCAGGAATTTTTCGGAGCTCAAAAATTTGGAGTGGTCCAGAAAAGGGTCAACATACTGTATGTTTTGGGATTTAATTACCATGAATTACCTTTATTGAGCTTTTAGCGACTTTTGAACATAGGGAAGTTGATGATGTTTGATTCATGGAATTGAATGGGTTTTGGTTGGTTTCAGTAATGCCACTTGACTATCAGGCGTTTCTGTCCAGATATTCACTGAGGTAGAGAAGGTTGAGCTGGGTATGTCCATACAGTGCCATGCTCGGAGTGGAACTGAAACTGGGCCTCCCAGTCTCAGCAGCCTCAACCAACATTAGAACAGAAAGATGCCCTCATTACTCATTACCCATTGTCATCAGCTGCCGTAGAGGAGTTGTTGTATCTTCCCCCATAGCGAGGTGAGGGTATTGCACACCGGAGCACAGGGCATGCAACAAGATCAGCTGCCTTAGAGAAAAAACGCTCTAATTTTCTCCATAGTCTAGTATATCATAGTATATCATCAGCTGCCATGGATGAAAATGTGAGAAACAGGGTTACCCCCCCCACACACACAGATGTATGTATATATATATATATATGGTTGTATATATGCAAATAGAATTCCCTCCATTTCCCACGAGAGAGAAGCACCCCAGCGATCGCGGCTGTTTCAGGCGCGCCATCGCGGAGAAATACTTCGCGGCAGCGCTGCCGGATGCAGCTCGGAAGAGCACAAGGGAGGAGACCTTTGATCTCATGGAGTATGTGGACTCCAAGGTGTGCTGTCAGATGTCATGGAGGTGGCTTCAGGCCAAAAGGTGGAGATTGTTGAGCTGCCTCCCAACTGGATTACATTACTGTACATGTTATACCCGTTTGTGATGGTTTGTTGATGTTCTTCATTTAGGTATATGTAGCAGTTGGTAGGCTTTCTGCACTGACATACTTTTTTTATTGGTGGGTGTTTATTTGACTTCTTGGACATGTTTGTGAAGTTAATTCCTGAAATACACATCCATTCCTTCAATGTCCCACAATTTCTCAAAACTGCTGTCAGAATTCAAACAGGTTTCCGCAACTGATCGATTTTTTGGTGAATTCTTCGACTTACGAATATGTGTCTTTTTCACCATAACATCCATAACTCATGTTCTGATTTGTTTTGGTATTTTATCATGCTTTCAGCTGTTTTTCTTGTGATCCTCGCTGCCACCAGGGAAGGGAAAAATCCAAATCTGTGGAGTCCGCCTGGCATGTCTTGATGGCGCGGTGAAAGATGTTTCTGCAGATGCCAGTTGACACTGGATGGTTGCTGGTCATCATGATAGATAATATGGACATGGATACATGGATGGGTGGATGGATGGAGAGATGGAGATATGGAGAGATGGGGAGATGGAGAGATGGAGAGATGGATATATATATATATATATATATGTACACACGCATAGATATCTTTTCACTCGCCTTTAGCTTAGAGAGAGAGAGAGAGTATGTACATAAAATATATAACGCGCGATGGCAATGGCAAACCCTTTTCATTGCAACAGTGGTAATAGAGTAAAGATGACCCGATGACCAGCCAGGCTGGTGGGGCGCTATGACATCGAACAGCGCCAGCAAAGGCTCGAGGGATTTCTGGAGCCAGCGGCTGAGGAAAACCCCTGGCTTGAAGTACCTCAGGCAATTCTGAGCAGATTATATTACATGAATCCATATAATCCATGGGCGTGGGTCAAGAGTATTGACCCTCCAAATTTGAATGGATTGAGACCAAACAAATATCCAAGATTCGTCCATTCTGATGAATTTTGTGTGGGCCCAGTGGTGCCCCAGTAAATTGCCAACCAAGGATTTCTTTGGCCGAAAGTTGCCTGGCCACGCGCTATCCGGATGACATCTGGGCTGTTGACTGGACCGCTGCTGAGTGGCTGAGAAAAGACCTCTGAAGATGTGGAATGAACTGGAATTGTTTGGTAAAATCCGGTCAGAAAATGGTTGGGATTCCGCAAAGCTGCCATTTTTGGGCACCTAGCCCTATCCACAATTTTGGATTTGGTGGATCCATGTGGATCCCAAATCTGGCTTCATTTTTCGGCCACATTTTGGATCCCAAGGAGCCTTCCAAATCTCAAGAGCTTGTGGTTGGTCCCGGCCTCGGCATCTGCCTCAAGGACTGTCACTTTTGTGGTCACGAGTTGTTGTGCTGAGGACAAGACCCTGATCAACGACTGGGCAGATGTGAGGGAAATCTGCGAGCTGTGCCCCAACTTGGAGTGGCTGTCCCTCAGCAGGACCCTGGGATACCTTGGGCCACTGGTTGGGCTGGCCTTGTTGGGGGATGATGCACGCTTTAGGGATGGGGGTTGGTCAGAATGGTCAGAAATTGGTGAGAATGGTCCGAAAATTATCAGAATGATCAGAATGGATCAGAATGGTCTTTACAAACTTTTCGGAAATGGACGGAAATCATACGTGTCATCCCACTCTTTCCTGCGATGACCAGCCAAGATCTTGATGTAGGACTCGGCTGAAACCCTGCCCTGAAGTTCTTCCCCCTGCTGCCGGAAAACCAACTGGTGCAAGACTCAATCATGAAAAAATGTTGGGGGATGTGCGCAGATTGACATTTGCAATTCTGCGCCAGTTTGAGACAATGTATGTTTCAGATGAATATTTCATCAGTTTGTTCCCAACTGATATGTCACGAGCATCTCAAGCCGTTCTGCAGCGACGTGGAACGCTTGGAAAGCAAGGCGTATCGGAGTGTTTGGTTCTGAAGCCCTTTGTTTGCAAAGTTCGAACTCTGATCCTCAACAGCACCATGGTAGCCGTGCGCTCAGAGACTTGACGGAGCATATCGAGCTTCCGAATCCCCATGCAACTTGCTTTGACCACTTTCATCATCAGGACTAGAAACACCTATATATCTATATATCTACATCTATCTATATATATTCATATACCAATATGTATCTATCTATATATATATATATCTCTCTCTCTCTCTCTCTCCTCCCACTCTATCTATATATATGTATGTATGTATGTATCTACCTATAATTATATGTATCTCTATATTATATATATATGCATGCGCATAAAATAAAGGGCAACCTGAGGGCCCCTGATGGCTTTTGGGCCCCTGAGACCTGGGCTGACCTTCTGGCCTTGGATCGCCTGGGTTGGGGATCCCAGAGGGCTAGGGATATCTAGGGATTCAGCAGTTGCCGTGAAACTACTAGGAATTTACTGTTGTTTCTTATTTGTAGATAGAAATTTGTAGACTGTACAAACATATATATATAATGCCAATAATGTCCGCAGATTTATGTTGTAGTTAGTGGCAATTTGTGGTCATTTTTGGCACCCTTTGGTAATTTGATGGTTAACTAGTACGTGATGGTGAATGGTAATTAATGGTAAGAAACCGTATGATCTAAAGGTTGTAGGATCCTATAGATCTATAGGAATATCTCAGATTTTTCCTGATAGACTGGCAATGCTAGATATTGTTTGAGCATCAAGTCAGCCCCTTTTGGGGGGTCTTCTATTTTGACATGCACCCACATGATGCCTGAGTATTTCCAGCAAGCATGGGGACAACTGTGCAGAGAAGACTCCATCCCAACGAGCAAAGCCATTGATGGTCCATTTGAAAGCATGGCGCGCATCCCCTGTGAGACAGGAGGGGCGGAACAACAATATATAACAATATGACATAGGGATATGGGATGTTTTGATCGCTATTTGGACGAATGCTGCTTGAGGGTTGGATGAATGTGAAATTTCTGCTGCATCTTTTGATCCTCCCGTGTTTTCCTGTGTTGGCCACTCTGGACTCTAAAATTCAGGAGACACCAAGTCAACAAACACGTTACTTTTTCATGAGACAATCAAGAGCCAGTAAGCCCAGAACATCGGCATTGCAGGGCTATGCAGGGCTGTGGCTCGAGCTCATGGAACTCCAATGGAGTTTTCCAAGCACAGTCTTGAGATCGTGCCACCTGACCGGACTAGTTATTTGGATCCCAGTAGCTTTCTGGCGCTGCAATGTGCACATGTCTCTTCCTTTTCCGATGCCCAATGCATAGAATCATTCTGGTGTAATCTCTGCCGCAATCAGCTGCGTTCTTTTCTAGCCAGTGGGCCTCCAGCCGACATTCACCTGGATGCAAACTCGATAAAACATTCCTTGACGCGGAGAGGTAGGGATGGGTAAAAACATCAGGCCGCTTTCCAACAAAAGTTCTCTGAAAGATTCCAACATCTGACCTCATTCTGTTCAAGTGTTTCATCATTGTTGGGTAATGTCAACTCCGAAACAATAAGTCAATAAGCCTCTCAACTGCTTCCTTCAGTCCCTTTCCATTTCATCACTCCCCCAACAACATCAACATATTTCAGTAGCAATGTATGCAACATGCAACACAATATATGCAGAATATGCAATATATGCGATATATATATACACAGTATACACAGTATACATATATACATATATAC